CCCCAATGTCCCCGATGTCCCCGATGTCCCCAATGTCCCCGATGTCCCCCGATGTCCCCAATGTCCCCGATGTCCCCGATGTCCCTGATGTGTCCCCGATGTCCCCGGTGTCCCCGATGTCCCCAGGAGCTCGTGCTGGCGCTGTCCCTCGAGGGGGCGCTGCTGCGGCACCGTCCGGACCCCCCCGGGACCCCCTGGTACCGCCAGGTGAGGGGGGAGGGGCACGGGGGGGTTTTGGGGGGTCCCGGTTTGGGGGGGCTCCTGGGGGGAGCTGGGTTCCCCATTTTGGGGGGTTCCCGATTTTGGAGGGTTCCCTTTTTGGGGTTCCCTTTTTGGGGTTCCCTTTTTGGGGTTCCCGATTTTGGGGGGTTCCCTTTTTGGGGTTCCCTTTTTGGGGTTCCCGATTTTGGGGTTCCCGATTTTGGGGTTCCCGTTTTTGGGGTTCCCTTTTTGGGGTTCCCGTTTTTGGGGTTCCCTTTTTTGGGGTTCCCGTTTTTGGGGTTCCCTTTTTGGGGTTCCCGTTTTTGGGGTTCTCGTTTTTGGGATTCCCGTTTTGGGGTTCCCTTTTTGGGGTTCCCGATTTTGGGGTTCTCGTTTTTGGGGTTCCCTTTTTGGGGTTCCCGATTTTGGGGGGTTCCCTTTTTGGGGTTCCCGTTTTTGGGGGGTTCCCTTTTTGGGGTTCCCGTTTTTGGGGGGTGTTTCGGGGTTCTCGTTTTTTGGGGTTCCCGGGGGTCACTCGTTTTTGGGGTCCCCCGCAGCTGCTGGCCCTGCTGGCCCTGGAGGACGAGCCGGTTTTGGGGTACACGGCCCCCACACCCCTGACCCAGCTGCACCTGCACCTGCAGCGCTGCGGCCTCGACTACAGGTGAGCACCCCAAAACCGCGGGGGGACCCCAAAACCGGGATCCTGATGGGAGGGGTCCCCAAAACCGCGGGGGGACCCCAAAACCGGGATCCTGATGGGAGGGGTCCCCAAAACCGCGGGGGGACCCCAAAAGCGGGATCCTGAGTGGGGGGGACCCCAAAAGGGAGACCTTGAGGGGAGAGGGACCCCAAAACCGGGATCCTAGGGGGAGGGGGACCCCAAAATGGGGATCCTGAGTGGGGGGGGCCCCAGAAGAGAGATGCTGGGGGGAGGGACCCCAGAAGGGAGATCCTGGGGGGGACCCCAAAAGGGAGATCCTGGGGGGGACCCCAAAACCGGGATCCTTTGTGGGGCCTCTTCAAGGGGGTTCCACTTTTGGGGTCCCCTCACCGGGACAGCCCAAAGCGGGGGGAGGGGGGGGGTGTCTGGGGGGGGCTCCGAGGTCACCCCAGTGCGGGGGGGTTTGGGGTGACCCGGATTTGGGGTCCCCCCCAGGCCGCCACCCCTCCCCCTGCGGGTGCTGGTGACAGCCGAGACCCTGAGTGTCACCTGCGGGAGCGGCCCCGACCCCCGCCCGGGGGGGCTCAGGTGGGCTGGGGGGTCCTGGGGGGCTCCCCGGGGGTTTTGGGGAGGTCCTGGGGGGGTTTTGGGGCTCCCCGGGGGTTTTGGG